ACAGTTCAGTCATAACTAATCAATGCTAAGTATTCCTTGTTGTGCGTTCTGTCTTAACACCTTTTTGTTCAATGTTTTGGGGAGCTTATTAAATACTTTTCTTCTGTCCTATGCCATTTCTCTCAGTGTGTCTTGGAGTGCCAAGAGAGTAGGGTGTCTGCTTCCAGTATCCAGAATCTCTTTTACAGATGGCCTCATGGGATTTTTTGGTGCCATGTTGGATATTATATTATTGTTATGTGTCTCTTGGTTAAAAGGAAGAGGGGTGTCTGAGTGGTCATCCAGGTATTCATCTATTACCTGGAACTTTGTGTCAGAAGGAGTAAGACTTAGCACCGAGATTGATACGGTGATATTACGGTATAGCTCATTTAACCAACTTGAGTACATCTCCTGGCATTCAAATTGCAATCCTCCATGATGTCATTTAATTGCTTGACCATTGATTCTGCAGATAATTTGGCTACTTCTGGTTCATATTCAGCTTGACAATCTCCTGGTCCATTACTATTCTTATTTCTTTATTTACTTACTTTGTTTTATATCCCACCCCCTTCTCTCTCAGGGAGTTCTGCAACGCTTCGATGCCATTCAACAGAATACAATACTAATAGAAAATACGTAAACTCTCAAACACAAAAATTAAAACAGTGATATATTTTCTTGGCTAGGATTTCCTGGAAGTGCTGCAGCCAGAATCCCAAGCTCTACCAGTCTAACCAATGCTTCAATAATAGCTCTTAGGCTGGAAACTTCCCTTTGCAGCAAATCCATTCTCTGAAATAATTTTTCTACTGTTTGCTGTACTAGGAAACATTGGTCTTGCATGGGGTCATGCAATGAAGGTTCAACATTTTCTATTACTTTTGGATCAAGTCTGCCAGTGTTCTCTTTAAGAGTGTTTATAATTTATTTGTATGAAGAAGATGGTCTTTTCAATGATTGTGGAGGAGTCACCTGGGTTGATGGACCAGACCTGGGTTGATGGACCAGTTAACAGCCTCTTCATTAAGGGAGAATAGAAAGGTAGTCTCTGCCTCATCACCATCATCGCTTGTATCCTCTCTTACACAAGCAGTACTTGATCTGTCTAATGTGGCCAAATCTATGAATTTTAATAAAATAAAATAATAAAAAAATTAAAATACATCATAAAAATATAAAATATTTACATCCAGTGGAGGCCAGGGACCACGGCCTGCTGCTGCCTGTGTGGCTCCGGAGGCTCTGCCGGGGTCTGTGGAGGCCAGGGAGACAGGCAGGAACCCTCGGGATGGGCCGGGAGGCGGGTAAGGAAGCATGGGTAAGAAAATAATATATAAAATATATAACATAATGTATAAATATTAAAATTAATATGGCATCCCTACTTTGCGGATTTTCACTTATCGCGGGTGGTCCTGGAATGAAACCCCCATGATAAGTGAGGGAACACTGTAGTTGCTTCAGCTTCCAAATCCTTAGAATGCTGAAACAGGTCTTAAGAAAATAAGAAATAATCTTGCAAGATCAGACAATATCCATGTAAGTCAGTCCTTCATCAGAAGAACATTTGAAACCGGCATGTAATCCATTGGAAACTCTGTAGTAATCCACGAGTGGAGGACAAAAAATATTCTATTCAGCCCTGCTCTAATGGACTAAGAACAAAACAGTTATATGTATACTAGGCAGCTTTTTTAATGACAATAAACAAATATTGATGATAATTGAGAGTGTTGGCTAAGCACAAGGAAGAGGGCACGCCACTGTCAGTGCTAATATTATAGAGATAGGATAAGGGTTGGTTCTATTATCTTTTACACAAATAGTTCATTCAACACAGAAAAATCCTTTTGCTACCTGAGGGGGCTAGCCGCAACAGTTTTCTCTTCCTCTCTTGTGTCTTTCTCCTATTGTGCATTTTGCTTTTGAAAGTAATGATGTGAAAAGCAACGCACAAGGACATTCTGCCTTGTCACCAGGAGCTTTAAATACCACATATGTTTGGTTTCTGATTTTTCATTTTAAAAGAAGGAACTCCCTCTATGACTGTATGCTCTCCCAGAGGAAAAAGTGAAAGCACCAACTTGTTGCTAGACTAACAAACAAAGAGTGTGGCTGTACAGCATATTCATGGAGCCAATTCGTCAAGTTATGTTTTAAAGGATATAATGCAATATCCTTGAAATATGCCTCCCTAGAATTAAATCAGACAGCAGCATTCATACCAACTGAGAGCTAGTTCTAGTGGTTTCTCAAATGATATCTTCAGCATATTAAGAAATCATTAAAGATTGTACATATATTCTCATTAGATTCCTGCAGTTGCTATGTCCTCCTTCCTCCACCACTGCAATTAAATTAAACTGGAGCGATGTACAGGGAGCACACCACCCCCCTGCTACATCAGCTCCACTGGCTGCCGATCCAATTCCGAGCACAATTCAAAGTGCTGGTTTTAACCTACAAAACCCTATACGGTTCCGGCCCAGTGTATTTGTCCGAACGGATCTCCCTCTACGTCCCACCTCGGAGTTTAAGATCATCTGGGGAGGCCCTGCTCTCGACCCCACCTCTATCTCAAGTGAGGCTGGCGGGGACGAGGAGCAGGGCCTTCTCGGTGGTGGCCCCTCACCTGTGGAACTCACTCCCCGGGGAGATCAGATCAGCGACCTCCCTTCTGTCGTTCAGAAAAAAACTGAAGACCTGGATCTGGGACCAAGCTTTTGGACATTCTGGCAGCTAAAATAAGGACCCATTGATGAGCAGGAATTGTTGGAATGAATGGACATTTTGGAACTCTGAATTTCACTGTGCATGAAATTGTTTTATTATATTATGTAGTGATGTGTTTTAATGCTGCTAAATCTTTATACTGTTTTATATATGCTGTATATTTTGACAGGCATCGAATTTGTGCCTTTGTTTGTAAGCCGCCCTGAGTCCCCCCTCGGGGGTGAGAAGGGCGGGGTATAAGTAACTGCAATAAATAAATAAATAATAAATAAAGTTGATTGAAAAATGGTCATTATTGCCTAATCTGCTCTGTCAAGTTATTTGATTTGTTGTGCTGCTTTGGATGGATGGGGGAAGGTTAACATGAAAATTGAGAACCTTCACCATCTTGTCGAAGGCTTTCATGGCCAGAATCATTGGGTTGTTGTAGGTTTTTTTCGGGCTAAATGGCCATGTTCTAGAGGCATTTCTCCTTACATTTCGCCCGCATCTATGGCAAGCATCCTCAGAGGTAGTGAGCTTTCCATAGATGCAGGCGAAACGTCAGGAGAAATGCCTCTAGAACATGGCCATATAGCCCGAAAAAACCTACAACAACCCACTTCACCATCTTTTTTCATATTTAATTTGTATTGGTAAATGCTTTTTCTAAGACTGCTTTTCCCAGTTTTTTCCAGCAGCATGCGTCATGCTTTTCTGACCAAACGAGCTTGAGAAGAAAATTTCCTTGGTGTTTTGTCCTTCTCCTTTTTTGTAGTTCTCACAGATATAAGGGTTCCCATCTGAAAGGAGTGGGATGTCGAATGTACAGGAGACTTCTTGTTGACCCATCCCTAAGCTTTGGAGTTCGTGAATGTGTTCTGAAGCATATTTCCTTCACAAAATGCATGGGAAAGGTGTATATATTCTTCCATCCCTTCGCCCAGTTAATTCATTTGGAAGATACAGGAAACTCCTGTACAAATTCAACATGGAAGCTTCAATGATAACTTTTTTTCTCCTGATTTTACTGTGTTATATGTGGATGCACTTATGTACATGCTTGTATACAGCAGGAGCCGGCAAAAACCAGCCCTCCAGAGGTTGCTGGATTGCAATTCTCATAATCTCATCACATTGTCTGTGCTGCTTAGGGCTGAGGGATGTTGCAGCTGAGATATATTGTCAGTGTTTGTATGCAGTGTGTATATATACATATATACACATAAATGTTGCCCTGAAAGCTTTGGTAGTAATAGTGATTCTTAAATAGCAAATAAATAAGGTGATTCATCTTTTGGTGCTGGGGTTTGGATGTGCCAGCTAAGGAACAGATACAATAGATATATGAGATCTATTCTAAATTTCAGTCTTTTCTTTCATCCCTCAAGATTCAGCTTATCATGTAATCTCACCCTCTTATCTGTTGTTAGTATTTATCCACATGGATACTTAGCCTTACCATTCACTTGCAAGCTTGCCCATCTTGGCTTTTAAGATCTTGATAAAATTGACTACTGGACAATGGCCTCAGTGCTTTAATGAGTTGGATGTGGGCTAATCAACTGAAACTGAATCACCATAAAATGATGGCTCTGTGGACTGGTGGTTCTGGGAACTGAGTAAACAGCCAGTCCCTGAAGGAGCCATTGCTAAGCCTAGATTAAGGTACTCCTGAGTCCCTTTGGGGAGATAGGGTGGTATATAAATGAAGTTGTTGTTGTATTGTTGAAGGCTTTCATGGCTGGAATCACTGGGTTGTTGTAGTTTTTTTTCGGGCTATATGGCCATGGTCTAGAGACATTCTCTCCTGACGTTTCGTCTGCATCTATGGCAAGCATCCTCAGAGGTAGTGAGGTCTGTTGGAACTAGCAAAAGGGGTTTATATATCTGTGGAATGACCAGGGTGGGACAAAGGACTCTTGTCTGCTGGAGCTAGGTGTGATTGTTTCAACTGACCACCTTGATTGGCATATAATGGCCTGGCAGTGCCTGGAGCAAACTTTTGTTGAGAGGTGATTAGATGTCCTTATTTGTTTCCTCTCTGTTGTTGTGCTGTTGTAATTTTAGAGTTTTTTAATACTCCCTCTGTCAGCTCCAGCTCCCCATGTTGAAACATAAGAAAAGCCTCCCACAAGGATGGTCATACATCAAAACATCAGAGCTTCCCCTGGGCAACATCCTTGCAGACAGCCGGTTCTCTGCCATCAGAAGCAACTTGCAGTTTCTCAAGTTGCTCCTGATACAAAATTTAAAATTATTTCATTTTCCTGACTACCTCTCTAACTTTTTTGTTGTGACAGGCAAGGCCTTGACATATCTTTTGCTGCAGCCACCCAGCCCCAAACTTCCTCCTCACAGCACCATCAGAAGAACTGCCATTGATCTGATTGGACGAGGGTTTACTGTATGGGAGCCTTATATGGACGTGTCGGCTGTGTTGATGGGCCTCTTGGAGCTCTGCGCTGATGCTGAGAAACAACTGGCAAAGTATGTACATCATCTAATACTTTGGGATAAGAAAGTTTTTCATACACTGTACTGGGTTTCACAAATTTGTAGTGAGGGATACAGGAATGCCAAAATCCTATTTATGAATGGCTTATATTATACATGTCAGGTTGAGGGTCTTTCGAAAATAACAAGGATGCAAATCTTTGTCCTCACTGCAGTTTTCATGTGTCCTATATTAAGAACATGGCATATTCTGCATTTAACTGTTTAAAATTGAAAAATTTAGCATGAACAGATTGATGTGTTGAAATTGATATGTAGAATTCTACCCTAAAACAGACTGAGTTTAGATACAGTATTTATGGTTTATCAACCATCAGTCTATGTGTTCCATCCTTAACCTAGCACCCTTTCACTCATCTTATACTTCCCACATCAGCAAAGATATCCTGTCATTGAGGAACACAAGCCATAATTTGTTATACAGGTGCCACTTAAAACTATGATATCGGAAAGACAGTTTGCTTACTTGTAACTGATTCTTTGAATAGTCATCTCCGCCCTCACTCAAATGGACTTTCATGGGACCCAATTAGAATATTCTAGAGCAGAGTAGCTTGATGCATCCCAAACCACCACCACCCCCCACCTCCATCTTCTGTGCATGTCCTAACCCATCATAGCTACTATCACCTTACTTTCAAAATCCAACGATAGGAACCTAAAACACAGGGGAGGTAGAGTAGGTTGTATGAGGGCATAGATGACCACGGAATGGACCACAGTTAAGGTAAGTTACCTACCTTCTTCCTTTCTGATATCTTCGCTTCATACAAATGGGTGACTATGAAGTTTACCAAAGGATGGTGGGTTAGGTCACTGGAGAATAGCAGAAAGAACATGGTAGCCAAATTGGGCATCTGCAGTCAGATCTGTAGTGCTGAATAAATGTAGGTGACTGACATGACATAGTCAGGCAAAGGAACAGCATGGAAGAGAAACACAGAGGAAACAAAAACCAAGAGGAACAGGCTGCTTGGTGAGTTCATAGGGTGATGGCTGTTCTCCCTGGGGCTTCTGTAACAAACAGTGTGACAGAAAGTAGTTGTATATTGAATACAGAAGAACACAGATGGTTCAGGTCCAGGCTCTTTGGCTGACCACATCCCCTTAAATGAACCTGCCCGGGCCCTGAGGTTTTCAAGAGAGGCCCTTCTCTCGGTCCCACTTTCATCTCAAGCCTGGTTGGTGGGAATGAGAGAGCAGGCTTTATCAGTGGCTCCCCTCAACTCTGGAACTCCCTGCCCAGAGAATCTATAATGGACCCCTCCCTGCTGTCCTTCTGGCAGCAGGCTAAAACCTTTTTATTTAGACAGATTACGGTGTTTAAGATCTGATCAGGGTATGCTGTGGTTTTTAACTTTGAATATGTTTTGATGGGTTTTAACTGGATTTATTAGTGCTGTTTGTGTTCAATTCTGTTTTAATGTTTGTATATTTACCTATTTCAAATTGGATACCAATACTTTTATGTCAAGCCGCTTTGAGTCCCCTTTGGGAAATAAAGCGGGATATAAATAAATATAATAATAATCATCGTCATCATTCTCATCGCCATCATTGTCTTATCTAAATTTGATTATGGCTGCAGATAAAAGGTAGGTAGTCTAATGTCTTGATTCACCTTAGGAAAAAAATGTCTGTATGCAGAATGTCTTTCTCACAGCGTTAAAAAAGGAAATGTTCATCACATCAAACAGCTGCAAGCTTACTTGCTCATCTTGCAGAAGTGATGGCATCAAGAAAGACCATATTCAGATTAAGGAAACATTCATCTATAGATGCTAGAGTTAGAAAAGTTTGTGCATTAATTGTGGCAGGATCAATTGACCAATTTGGAGTCAGAGACAAAACAATGGGCAGAGATGTGTTTGGCCTATGAGGAAGATTTTCACTGCTGAGATTGAAAATAGAGTAGTGGCAGACAAAGACAAGCTGATGAACTATAATTGCAGCTAAATAGTCTTTCAATGAGAAAAATACAGATGCAAGGCCCCACTGACAAAAGCACCATTAAAAGTATAGGTACTTTTGTTTGGGAATATATGGTTCACCTCTTGTATTAGTGATTCCATATGCACAGTATAGGTAAGAACCCAGTATTATGTAGTCGATCAGGTATTTTACTAGTGATTATAGTGTTGGAGACCAAGATAGAAGAGGGCCTGTAAGGCAGGAAGTTGGATATGATGACATATTAAGAAGCCATTCAAAGTCAAGACCTTGATGAAACAGAAGTTTTTTTTGTAAAGACACTGACAGATAACAGTGCTGCTAATAAGGACACCATTGTTCAGATGAGGACTTTTTGAGAAGAAGTACGCGAAGGTCTATGAAAATTTAGAACTGGAAAAGAATGGTAAAGAAAAGCATTTCTATGAAGACTAATATGACTACTATTTTTGGTGTTGCATGCCAAAGCCTATCTTCCTGGATTTCAAAGGGTGGTCCATAATGTAATCCATCTTGGAATTTAAAATAAACTCTTCATCAAATGGAATAATTTTAATTAAATCTTAGAGCTGGCAAGAGTGAGATTGTAGCTGGTATAGGCATTTGTGACTCCACCATCTGAAAGACCAGGTCAGAAACTGGAGTTGGTAAAGTTGTAACATCAAAACCAAGGGATTTTGCCATGTTTTTGAAAATATATTTATGTCTTTTGGAGATGATGGTGGGTAGTATGCTCTACAGAGCCAATAGGAGAAGAAGGAAAGGAAAGGTGATGCTGTGGAGGAAGAGTCAGAATTATTATAACCACATTTTCCTGTGACACAAGAAGGAGCTACAATGGTGGCTGATACTGTAGGTAGTGGCAGGAAGTAATGTAGTTGCAGTAGATACCAATGAACATAGGATAGCACTTGAATTGGAAGCATAAGAGACTCCATAAGTCACCAGAGACAAATCTGGGGGCACAATAACTTCGGCAGGGAAAGGTGGAGCTCTGGACAGAGTTTTTGTCATTCTAGGGAAGTGGAGATGGAGGGTGGTTACATGGTGCTGGTGATGAACATCTCTGAGGAGTAGATGGGCCCACCAGTGATCAATGCTGAGGAGAGGAGAGTAGCAAGTGAATATGAGGAAACCTAGATTGATTTTAGTGCTGAAGATATAGGGAATGACATGGTGAGTGATAATGTGCAAACTCATGGTAATGAGAACAATTTTGGTACAAAGGAAAATAAGAATGAAAGGTTCTCTCTATAGGTGTTCTTACCAGTATTGATCCAGGTAAGAGACTGAAATATAAAGCCCATCATCTTGGGATGAATAACCCCAATAAGAAGGGAAAGAGAATGCATAGGATGGAGTGAAATGGAGATCTGTGGAAATAGAAGGAGAAGGAATTCCAGGAGCAGAATAAGGAAGAGTATAGAGCAAATACATTCTGATGTCTTGTACTGAAAGACATTGAAGAACAGACTGAGATGCAGTGTTCATTATCAAAGTTCCCTTGCATCACTGGAATCAGATCTGGAGAATCAAATCTGAAGTTGTTCTTTGAGCCTGGAAATCGTTCCAGAAAAAATGTGCACTTGAACAGAAAACTTTTTAAATTGATTTAATTATGATGTCTTTAAAAGCAGAAAATTGTGGGAGGTTCATAATCTCCTTCAGACAATTTCAGGAGCAGATTTATGAGCAAGTAAACAAGCAGCAATGTTTTGAACTTGTAGAAGGGAGACAGAAGGGAAAATTGATGTTATTTTATTGTCGAAGGCTTTCATGGCCGGAATCACTGTTGTAGGTTTTTTCGGGGTCTTCAAACTTTTTAAACAGAGGGCCAGGTCACAGTCCCTCAAACTGTTGGAGGGCCAGAATATAATTTGTAAAAACATGAATGAATTCCTATGCACACTGCACATATCTCATTTGTAATGCAGAAAGCACTTAAAAACAATACAATAATTAAAATGAAAAACAATTTTAACAAATATAAACTTACTAGTATTTCAGTGCGAAGTGTGGGCCTGCTTTTGGCTGATGAGATAGGATTGTTATTGTGTGCTTTCAAGTCACTTCAGACTTTGGTTGACCCTGAGCGAGGGCTGGGTAAATGACCTTGGAGGGCCATATCCAGCCTTCGGGCCTTAGTTTGAGGACCCCTGTTCTAGAGGCATTCTCTTTGACATTTCATCTATGGCAAGCATCCTCAGAAGTAGTGAGGTCACAGACCTCAGACCTCACTACCTTTGAGGATGCTTGCCATAGATGCAGATGAAACATCAGGAGAGAATGCCTCTAAAACATGGCCATATAGCCCGAAAAAACCTCCAACAACCCACTGATTTTTTTAAAAAAAATTGGTTACATTGGAACTTTGTATGTTTAGGTGTATACATCCTATCAAAAGTGTTTTATTTTAGTTGCTTTATTTGAGATTAGTATGCCCTGTAGTACTCATTTCTGTGTGGTCCTAGAATGGTTGTGTCTGATCATGTGTCTTTCTCACAAAAACTAGGCTCACATGGGCAGTTATGAAACCTGATTACTATCTTAGGTCAGATCAATATGGATCAGTATTGCGAGTAAAATGAGAAAGGATCAATAGCTTATTCATAAATACTCCTGCCCTCCCCCACTTTTCTGGAAATCTGCCTAACTGCTTTGTCTGTTTTGAAACAATGCATGCTTTTCAGATATATCCTCAGCTTAAAGAAATATTCATGGGATGGCCAACAGGGTCTCACCTACCTATTATGCTATCCCCATTCTTCAGCAGTCTTGCCTCTTGCCAGCCATGTATTTGCCATAATGGTTTCAATATATGTACCGCTGTACATTTAATGATACACATATCCTTCCAACTTCTAGTTGACATATAGTTGGCCATATCCCTCTTTTCTTTATAGTGTATGAAGAAAATACTCAACCAGACAGATCATTTGAATGCCTTCTATGAATGTCCTCTCCACGTAAAGAAATACCTATGTGCAGCAATTGTTTTTAGGTTCTGCGGATAGCATGGCAAG